CCCTGTGGGCGCTCACGGGCAGACACTGTTTACTTAACTGGAACTGGTTTCTGAAAACACGCGGCTCTGGGGGGTGGGGGTGGGCGCGGCCCCTGCCCCTGCTCATCCCCTGGGGCTGATAAGACCCCAGATTCCAGGGCAGATCCAGGCCTCCCGACAAGGGCCACGGCCAGGACCTGGTCATTCCAGAGGCCTCCCAGCTCAGCAGAGCCGACTTCCGACTGTCACAGTTTGTCACAGGGATCAGCGGGGCCTGGAATGAGGCTCCAGATGGCCAGCATGAGGGTGGGGGAGACTCTGGGCCGAGGAATCCGAGAAGTTATCTCTAGGAAGAATCCAGCGCTCGCTCGCTCGCATTCTTGCTGGCGCTGGGAGCTGATGGGTGGATAAGGGGGAGAATGTGATGCCTCTGGCTGCAGGAAAACGGCAGCCAGCATGGCTTTGGGACACCGTTCCCCTGTGACGGACTTTCCACCACCCCTAGAACTCGCAATCTTCCTGCCTGGGCCTCGGCGGCAGCCGGGACCACAGGTGTGGGCCATCCCGCCTGGCTGGTTCCTCCTGTAGCAGGCCCCTTGCCGCCGCGTCGCCTGTTGACCTCCAAGACTGGGCACTAAATGAGGCTCCCTCCTTCCTCTTCCTTTTCCTCCCAGGGGACCCCATCGGCTGGCCCATGGTCTGCCCTTGGGCTTGGGCGGGGTTACTGTGTCCAAGGTTCAGGACAGGGCAGAGGGGCTAGTGTTGGCCCAGGTCACGTGCCCAAGGTCATGCGGCTGGGGAACAAAGAAGCCAAGGTCAGGCTCTGGGCCTGGGTGCCCAGCAGGATGCCCAGGAGGGGCCCCACAGCCGGGCGGGGGCTTGGAGGACGCTCAGGGGTTATTTATTATTGACTGCTGAGAGGCTTCCCCAGAACCCTTTACTTTTCTCTTTGAAACAGCCTCACCACGTGGCTCAAGCTCCCAGTCCTCCTGCCTCGGCCTCCCGGATCGGATCGCTGGGATTGGGGGGCGCCGCTGCGCCTCGCTGGCTCCCGGGAGTTTCGAGGTTTAGTGGAAACAGGAAGGTGCCAGTCGGGGCCCAGGAGACAGCCTTCCAGGGTGGAGGTGGCTCACTCGGGCCAGAGGCGGAGTGGGAGAGGGGAGAGGCCGGGGCCGGGCAGGGCTGCCCGTGAGCACCAGGTCAGATGGGTCACCACCAGACACGCCACCCGGAAGACCAGGTGACGTTTCTGTCAATCGCCCTCAGGACTTGGTGGCGCTCTGGTGGGCGTCCCCTTTATTCTCGAAGGCCAAGTCCCAGGCCTCCACGGCCCTGCCCAGCGCTTGGCACTTGGCATCGTGGGCCTCTGCCCTCTGCCTCCCCCGGGGCACTTCCTCCTGTGGGCATCAGGCTGAAGCCCTGCTCTGCTGACCGCTGAGGGGGCCCGGGGGCCCGGGGACAGTGCTGTGGGCGTTCTAGCTCCTGAGCTGCCCCTTCTCGGGGCCCTCACGGACGGCAGGACTTCCGGAACAGTCGGTGAGGGGTGCGGGTGCTC